TTTTTCCTGTGCGTTTTTCACCTGCTTCAGAGGGACTTTTCCAAATGTTGCACTCAGCCCACTGAAAATCCCGGTACTGCTAAATATAAGAGAGTCAATATAATAAATATAGGCCACTCTTTGCCTTTCACTGGATTCCTTCAGTGTCTGCACATGTGAGATTATTGACAGAATTAGATATTATTTTACAGTAGAGTTCCAGCTGTCCAAGTTCTAAATCACAGGTATGACTAACCCCATGGGGGAAGATTCCTAACAATTTACCGTGTTTTCCATGTTAGCGACAGGTTTCGTGCACACGCTCCGCTATTAAAGCATTAGACTTTCTTTGATTTCTTAATCATTAACAACTTTAGCTTTGATTGCCCATGGAGCTGCAAGCTGTTAAAATTATCATTTGCCTCTTACTAATTTTGAAACCAAGAGCTGTTTCTTCGTTTGATGTAGCACAGGTCTTTCTCAGAGCACATATACTCAGGAGCACTAAGAATCTCCTGGAAGAAAATATATCTAAAGCTATTGGATTTCTAAAATAGATGGGATAGAGAAAATACTCTTTTTTAAAAAAATTTTTTTTAAAGTTGTGGCAGAGAGAGAGAGACAGCATGCGCATGAGTGGGGGAGAGGCAGAGAGAGAGGGAGACACAGAATCCAAAACAGGCTTCAGGCTCTGAGCTGTCAGCACAGAGCCCGACGCAGGGCTCGAACTCACAGACAGCGAGATCATGACCTGAGCCAAAGTCGGACGCTCAACCGACTGAGCCATCCAGCCGCCCCGAGAAAATACTCTTAAATACTAAAAAGTGCAGCTTTTTAAAAGATTCAACAAAGAATTTATTTTTTTTCAGGAGAAAAGTGTCTCTGGGTTTTTACGGTTTAGTGTGTGAATAGTGGGTATTTTATGAAGAAGCTAAGGAGGCAGGAAATTTGAAAGCTGTGTTTCAACGCTAAAAGGTCAGTTGAAATTCACCCAGGGTTAACATAGTGTTGGGTTATCATGAAAGCCAGCAGAATGTAAAAAATCTCCTGGAAAGATTTTGTTTGTACATAGCCTTTTCAAAACCACGCCCCTAAAGTCTTTAACCCATAGTAAATGCTCAATAAATAATTGTTAAATTGATTTGATACATGTTAAGACCAATTGGTAGTATGATCAAATGAAGTATGTGACCTTGAGCATTCATTCATTCATTCATTCATTCATTCATTTATTATCCACTCACTGGTAGTTATGTCCCAAACATTGTTTATTGGGAACAAATTGAAAATTGGTGACTCAGTGTACAAAAAATGGCTTTTCTCTGATGTTATGGGTATACGTGGACAGCCCTGGGCTGAAGGAATTTATATCGGGCCAAGAGGCTCCTGCCGACTAGTTCTGTGCAGGCTACTCAAGACATATCTGGGAGGCAGGTTAACATGGCCAATTCCTAAGCCCCATTTTTAAAAATTTTGCTGGCTAGACCTAGGGTGAGCCTAGCTCTTGAATTTTTTGGAAAGCTACCAGGATACGGATACACGTTTAGGTTTCAAAACCCAATGTAAGATCATATCATCTATGACTGTTTCTTCCGGGAAGAATCAGTTACCACAGATAGTTGTTCAGCCTGTTTGTAATCGGACTATTCTTGACTTCCTGTTGGAGTGGTGGAGACTCAAGTCTGAGGTGATGGTAGCGATAAGATGTTCTCCTTCGATCATCAGGAAGATCAACATGTAGCTTTCCTCCGACCAGTGTTTGTGATTTCTGGGGGTTCTTTCTACATGCCAGTCCCGTGCAGGGCAGTACCCTGAGCATAAGCCCCTACGTGACTTATTACTTAAAACGAAGCACGCAAATCAGCATTACCTTGGAGCTCTCTCATACTTCGAGGCTCCCAAGGATACTGCTCTTGTCTGTGAGCCATATCGGTGCCATTTATGGCACCCACCACTCCCAGACTCACCCCCCAACCCTTCTCTGAGGAGATACAACCTCAGGTTCTGGCTTCCAGAGGTCCCGTTGACAAGGCAACCAGAGTGTATCCATTCAATCCACCGTTCACCTTGCTATTCTTATGGTTAGAATAAATCCCCTTTTTTTTTCTCTTTACCTATCCTATATGAGATTTGTTGTTAAGTACTGACCTGCACGGTCTCTTCAGAATTCACCAACTTCCTTCCTTTTTATCTACAGGCTACTCTTGATGTGTTTTCCATCTCCTGTGTAATAGAGCGTACCTCTAATCAGCCCCTCCCACTCAATATCATTATTAGGAAGCATAATCGTGCGTTAGTTATAATGTACTCTGATTTTGGATGCTTATTTAAAATACCATATGTGTTCCTTCCCCTTACGAACTTCCTCTGTGTCCGTCTTTCTGAGGAAGCAGATCATTCTGCCTGCGAGCTTCAGGCTTGACAAGTACTGTGTGCAAGTAGATGGCGACACAGCGTCGTCTGTCCTCTGAAAACTTTCGGTCCCACAGGAATATACATCATTTCTTTCTTTTTTTTTTTACTGTTTATTTTTGTGAGAGAGCACGAGCGAGCGTGAGCAGGGGAAGGGCAGGGAGAGAGAGGGAGACAGAGGATCTAAAGCGGACTCTGCACTGACGGCAGAGAGCCCAATGCGGGGCTCGAACCCACAAACCGTGAGATCATGACCTGAGCCGAAGTCAGACGCTTCACCGGCTGAGCCACCCAGGCGCCCCAACATCATTTCCTTTTATACTTATCCTTGACATTTGTGCCTACACAACACCCGTGGTGTACTAGGTGCTGTGCAGCACAAAGGAAGCTTGATAAAGCATAGCCAGGCAAACTCTCCTAATTACTCTCCAATCCTCTGTTAAGTTTAATGTAGTTGAAATTGATAGGAAATATTTCCATTTTCTCTTCTGCAGGGGAAATCATTCAGATCCTTTTAACCTCTTGTCTGTTAACTCCCTGCATCCCAAACTCCGTTAACTTAAAGGAAGAAACACGGTTAAACGGTTTTTGCCTCTTGTATTAGTGGTATAAAATTTCGTAGCACTAAAAGCGGGGGCTAAAATCAAGGGAAACCTGGAATGGATTAAAGAGGATGAGAAACTTCCCTAAGGATAAAATCATTCACATCTTCCAGAACAGAATGGTTGGCAACTGCTTTCCCACACAAGTACTCAAAGTACTTGCCTCACAAAGTCTTTTTTTTTTTGCCTCTCCACGATAATTTTTTAAGGAGGAAAAAAAATCAAAACATTCCATTTTTTTCATAAGTGACACTTCTAACACATTTTCCCCAATGCAAAAGTACTTTGAGTTCTTTTTTTTTCTCCCGGTAAATAAAAGGATCGGTTTGAGTTGTTTGATGTCCTTACAGAATAACAATCCACATTTTGGTGGCACAGGGCCAACACGGATGAAGTCACTTGTCCTCTTTTCCTACCCTGTTCGTCTTCTGACTTTGTTTGCTTTTCTTTTTTTTTTTTTTTCAACGTTTATTTATTTTTGGGACAGAGAGAGACAGAGCATGAACGGGGGAGGGGCAGAGAGAGAGGGAGACACAGAATCGGAAACAGGCTCCAGGCTCTGAGCCATCAGCCCAGAGCCTGATGCGGGGCTCGAACTCACAGACCGCGAGATCGTGACCTGGCTGAAGTCGGACGCTTAACCGACTGCGCCACCCAGGCGCCCCTGACTTTGTTTGCTTTTCGTAGTTCTCTGTGAGAGACTGTCGCCTAAGAAATGAACGCAAATGTCATTAGGAGGGATTACAGTTTGTTTCTGGGAAGGTTTATTTATCTAAGTGCTCATTAATAACATTCAAGATGGAATCATTTCCTAACACTGCTCGACCCTTAGTTTGTGCGATGTCTGTTCATTTCGTATCTGTCACCCAGTGCCAGTGCCCGTGCGCATATCTTGCTCATGTACCGGGGACATTGTTATTCACAGTAATTCCATACCAGTGGTGCAGTTGACTTGTAAGAGTTAAGTGTCTGGGTGGAGAGAACATTAGGTGGTTTTGTTTAGAAATATGATCAGAAATGGGGAAAAATGGGAGGAGAAACATAAAGTGAATGTTATCTCTAGGTAATAAGCTTATTGTCGATTTTCATTTTTTGGCTTAGGGTTATGTGTTTTTCTGAATTTCTAAATGAAGGAAAACAATTGAAATCTTAGAAAAAGGAGAAATTACAGTTGCCGCTTCTTTTCTTATTTTGTATTTGCCCGTCTTAAGAGACTCACCCGGGCTGATTTTCATGTGTGCTGTTTCTCTCCCGAGGAGTGTTTCCTTCTCTCCCGTGCAGGAGCCTGTTTGCTGTGTCTTAGCAAGAGAGTTCATGAGTTTGTATAAAAGTAGGACCTGAACATAAATGCGTAACTGTAGCAGACTTTGATGCTTTCTATTTATTTATTTTAATTTGCTAACCTACTTTGTAGATGGAACCTCGCATTTATTTTGCTACAAGCTGATGCTTACGGTCTTTGCATTTGCAGACGAGGATAGGGGTTGTTGGGGATGGATGTCTTGAGATGCATGGGAGGCTTTAGGAAATATGAAAACGAGTATGGTAGAGTTTGTAGGCTGAATCATGTTTGAGAGATACTTTTAATTGAAAGCCATTCGTTAACGTTTCTCAGGCCCCAGCTCCTCGATCTTATTTCAGATTAAAGTCCCAACGTATTTAAAATGTTTTCGCCTTGATCCATTGGCCATTAAGAGTCACGTTCAGACTGCACTTAACCGTGGGCACCTTTGCTACTGCTGTCCAGAGAAATACCTCGTAACTCTTTTTGTTCTTCAATTTCTGAATTTTCAAAAACTGGTCCCTCTCCTAAGCCCCCTCCCTTCTCCTTTTTCTTTTCACAATTGAAAACCATTTCTTCACCCTAACTTTTTGAGAATTCATCCGACAACTATCATGAGACATTACAGAAGATAGAATAAAATTGAATGCCGTGGGAGTTTTGTGTAGTACATAACCAACAAGGAATAATTTGGTCTATTTGTTTTTTCCCATCTAATATTTTAGGTACAAGCCTATGCAGAAAGTGGATGGGGTTGCAGATGGTTTCACAGGAAGTGGTCAACAGACAGGCACATCTGTTGAGCAAACTGTAATTGCCCAAAGTCAACATCATCAACAGTTTTTAGGTATGTTAAGGTGTAATGCGTATTAGTTGCTATTAGCATGTTGAAAAGAAGAGAACAATACTAGTGTTTTCTCCAAGTGCTGTGTCTGTTACAGATGTTAATTACCCAGAAAGATTTGTGTGTCTCCGTGTATATCCTATGATAGCTGTAGATCATTTCTACTTTCTCATGTTCCCGAGAGCTTTTAAAAAATCTCAAGCTGCGTAGGACTTCTAAGTGCCTATGAATGAAAGGCTCATAGCCGTGACCTCGTCTTGCAGAATTTGTATTCATGGGGTTTTTGTGATGAAAATTGCGTTGTGTCCACTTTCAGTAGTTTACTTCAAGTACCAACAAGAATTCTCATTGCCTGCCGATAACGTTGCAAACGCATAGGCCCAGATTAGAAAAAAAAAAAAAAATTGCTAGAAACTTTGGAAAAGTAAGCTGTTCATTCAAACTAATCACAGTCTGTCCTATTCTTGTAACTTTGTAGATGGTGTCCGTGTTTCTTATTACTTAAAGAGTTAGGAATTGGAACATTCCGCACATCCCTGTGATAGCTAGATGTGCAAAAAATGGCACTTTAACTTACAACTCTTGTCGAGATGAAAACACATAGTGTCCGTGCAGCAGATCAAGACAGACAGAAGCCAGCAAAGAGTTTGCGTGTGTGTGAGTCTGTGGCGTGTGTATACTTGTCGATGTGGACTTTCCGACAAACAATTCACAAGGCCTCTCAGGGCAGAGTAGATACTGATGTTGAAAGCATTACGGCAGCGTTTCTCAAACTGGAGTCGTCACGTGTATTCTGGAGAGCCTGAGCTCTCAACGAGAATTTTGATTTTTTTTTTACTTTGTTTTTATTTCAATTAGAATCTGTAAAAAAAAAAAAAATTATAACAGGAGCGTCTTCTGGATTATCTAGAAGAGTAGAATGAAAACCGTTGTGCAGTTTTCGTTTGCGCATCTGGATTTGAATTTAGGATAAAGCAGGCACCGAAGTGCATTGCACGAATTGTCCAGAGCTAATGAGAAAAGAACAGGGAGAGACTTGCCAGGTAAATTACATAAATTATGTAATTCATCCCAAGGGAAGGCTAAATGACGTCCCAGTGCTTTGTGGAGGAAGGTTCCACAGCTTTGAATACAGGATAATAATGGGAGAATCAGCCCCACCAAGGACATGTTGGTATAGGCCTGTCAAACTCAAAAGTTCTAGGCCACAGCAGTCAATACCGTATTCATGTTGCGAGCGGGAATTTCGTGATAGGACAGCAGTCTCGTCCATCATATCAAATTAATGTTGTTAAGTTTAATGTTATTTTTGTAGTTTTATGTGTGTTCATTTCGTAGCTCTTTTAGTTTATGATGTTATAAGAAGTATGAGCCTACTGAGTTTAAAGCTACGTTTAGTTTTTTATATTCCTAAGTAACACGACACAATAATAACTAAAACCAATAGTGACCAGCTCGAGATATTTTTCTCTTAGTAGAGGCCCTATGTTGAGAGACATTATGGTATGTTATTTCTAGTATAATCGTAGTGAAAATTTAGTTCCTCCACAATTTTTCAGTGCCTCCTCAATTCCCCTCCACTGATGCTGTTGCTACATTTTGTTTGAAACGTACTACTATGAGAAGTTCTTCCATCGTTGGACCTCTGGCCTTTATGGGTGTTTTTTTTTCCTTTTTTTAGTCTTCTTAAATTTTCCCTCATTAATCTGTAATTGGCACAATCCATGAGAGGTTTGTTTTTTTTTTTTTTTCTGTTGTGTTGTCATGGCAACAGATGCATCTCGAGCACTTCCAGAGTTTGGAGAAGTTGAAATCTCTTCTCTGCCAGATGGTACTACCTTTGAGGATATCAAGTCACTGCAGAGTCTTTATCGAGAGCACTGTGAGGTAAGTTTTTTCAAACGCAGTATGAACGCACGCTAACATTTTTGCCAGACAACTTGCTAAACTAAAATAATCAAGCTTATTCCTAGAGGACAGGTAAAGTTAGTTCATGTATCTTTGAACACTGAGAAATTCATCTTTCTTCCGGTCTCCGCCTGAAGAAATGATGGACGCAAGAAAACGAGAATACGTTTTACTCTCCGTCTCCTTAGCCTTTCCTAGTCTGAATCCTTAGACGTGGCAATTCCACCACCGCTAGGTACTCACCCGACAAAGTATGCCACCTGGGTGAAGACATAAGTGTACAAGGAACTCATTGCATTACGGCTTTTAGCGCAAAAGATTGGTTGGAGCGTCCACATCTGCAAGGGAACTGAATAAAACATGGTACATACGGTCCCTTGAGCAGAATTCTGTGCCGCCATTAAAAAGAACAGACACTTCTAAGTGTACTAATGAGGAATAAGTTCCAGGATGTGGAACGTGTGACTCTTCCAGGAACATGTGACTCTTGATCTCAGGGGCGTGAGTTCGAGCCCCGTGTTGGGTGTAGACGTGACTTAAATAAATACATAAACTTAAAAAAAGAAAAAAAAAAAAGAGTATTTTCTAGAAATGCTTAGTGAAGCGCTTTAGGTGTTCCTTCCAAGGATTAATGAGGCTCTAGTTTTGTTTTGTTTTTGTGGTTACTTAACGTTTCTCTTGGTATTTTCCATCCCTGCTTCTCCTCCTTTTGGCAGTGTGCCCCATTGCAACTGGCTCGTTGTCTCCAGGACAGCGGGTTAATGTACCTGTAGCTCACCTGGTGGAAAGGGCGTAAGGGATCGCCGTAAGAATCGTCTTAAGTGCCTCTCTTTTTGAAAGAGGAGTCTGTTTAGAACTTAAGTAGCTTTATTCCAGGGCTATTTGTGATCTGCTCAGGAGTAGAAGATGTTCCCTTGCCTTTCACGGACAGCCCTCCTGACTGCGGACAAGGCAGTATGCAGTGAGAAGTCTCAGCTCACAGCGTTCCCAGATTTCTTTCCCACTCCAGAAATACCAACTGCTTGAGTGAATCCGAGTGCTTGTCAAGGGTGCTAGATCATTAACAACCAAGGGCAAGTCCTCTCTTTGTTCCCAACATTTGTTGGCATGATAAAGACGCTTAGTATCCAGCTGACTACACTCGAAAGAATTCTCCCAACCTGGAAGAATTCCTGGAGGAGCCTTACGTGTCTAGAAAAAAATTCTTTCTTTGTACATAAATATCACGTATATTCACTCAAGATTTTTAGGTAAAGATTCTCTAAGCAACTTCTCACTTCTCTGTGTTCAGGTGAATCCTTCTTAAAGCAACCCAACCCTCACAAATATAATTTAGATTCTTTTGAAGTTTCTCTTTGTTCAAACTACAAGTTGGAGCACGATCCTTTGTATTACTAAGGAGGGTACGGGAAGCTTATTCCAAGTGAAAAGCTCCACCAATAAGGTGAGAGACGAAAGTATCTTCAGGATCACAAAAATTTCACTGACATACCAGCATCCGGAAATAGTCTCTGAAGAGAGATGGATGGGTATGGTAATCAGTATATGTGGGGAATGGCGGTCCATAGAATGATCCCCATGTTTTCACAGAGTTACAAACATTCACGCCATTTCTCGGGAGACATGGCGGCAGGTATGGAAAAGAAGAATCGTGATTATTTTTTCATGTCAGACTTCCAGACTTTTGAAGTACAGGTGTCTCAGTCTCGTCTCCTCTCCTGTAAATAGTCACCTGCCCGAAACCAGTACAATAAGGATTATTTAAAAATACATCTGCCTGTATATTTCAGTCTGAACGTATTTGAAAGTGGGTGGACAAATGATAAAATGTTTTATTCGCTTGTAAAAATGTCCCAAGTGAGGCTGATGGGAATGTCCTTTTCAAAAGAATTATTTGAAATTATTTAATTTGGAGAGATTGCATTTCAGATGCACTGAATTCTTTACTTGCCTTATTTTTTCATATTCTGTACAGTTTATGTTTTTTAAAACATTTTTTTCAACGTTTATTTATTTTTGAGAGACAGAGAGAGACAAAGCATGAGGAGGGGAGGGGCAGAGAGAGAGGGACACACAGAATCTGAAGCAGGCTCCAGGCCCTGGGCTGTCAGCACAGAGCCCGATGCAGGGCTTGAACGCACAAACCATGAGATCATGACCCGGGCCGAAGTCAGACACTTAACTGACCAAGCCACCCAGGCACCCCAACTGTACAATTTATGTTTTTAACAAAGATTAATATCCCTATTTTATTTGGAATTCTCATGATTTGTTAATCAAAGATATTTCACAAGTATCACTTGTTATGTAAGGAGCAGGTATAATTTTCTACACGAGCTGCTGTAGCAGTAACTTTTTTTCCAAGCTTAGTGTTCTTTTATTTAAAAAAAATTTTTTTTTTAATGTTCACTTATCTTTGAGAGACAGGCGGACAGAATGTGAGCAGGGAAGGGGCAGAGAGAGAGGGAGGCACAGAATCCAAAGCAGGCTCCAGGCTCCGAGCTGTCCGCACAGAGCCCGACATGCGGCTCGAACTCCCGAACTGTGAGATCATGACCTGAGCCGAAGTCGGATGCTTAACCGACTGAGCCACCCAGGCGCCCCTAAAATTTAGTTTTCTCATAGATAGAGATACCTAGGTATTATATATGATGTTAGTAGTTGTTTTGTTAGTAGATATCTCTTAGACTGTGCCCACGGTACAGTTGGGAGAGCAGTTTAATAATTTGCCTCTTGAGAACATTTTTGCCTGGGAAGAGGGACATCTATCTGTCTTTCACTGTCAAGGCTGATACTTGCATCTTAATTGTTCTTAGTATCATAGGGTGAGGAGTGTGTTCATTCATTCATTCCCTTCCCTCCGTCTTCATTATGCAATGACGTGTAACATTCCCTACTGCTTACCAGAACATGCCCTCAAACGTATTTTGCTTCACATTTGAATGGGTCTCAGTGTGTTTATATAGAAGGACAGTTTTTCTCCGTATCCTATGTAGGGCCAGATCGACACAGGTGGCGGAGACTATAGAATTGTGGTTACAGTTTCCTCTGTTTGCCTCAAATACCCAGATGGACTCTCCTGATTGCCCCCTGTTGTCCCTCTGCTTCTGTGAACTGTGTAGATCTCGATGGGCCTGTTTTACCTGTCCTGGTTCTCAGTACTGCCAGCATCAAACACATTATGCTGATGACTTCTGTCTTTTATGCTCAAAATAATCACAGAAT